AGACGAGATCAAATAGAACGAGAACAACTTCATTTACGTCAACAGCAGCCACCACCACCACCAACAGTACCAACGGTTACTAACATAAATGGAATGCCATCAACTACTTATCCCATTGGTTTCGAACGACAACATACACAAATATTACAGCAACAACAAGAACCTATGACACGACCTTCATATCCAATAGGATTCGAACAGCAACCTTTAGGTTTTTATAATGCTGATGAATTACAACAAAAAAGTGAACTTATTTTACAACGTCGACGACAACGAGAAGAAGAAGAAAAACAAGCCGAACGACTTGCTTTTGGTAATGTTGATGATGATCGTTCTCAACGAAGAGTTTCATATGAATCACACATACAAACATATGAACCAGATGAACATGTATGTAATTTGATTGAATATAATTCTATTATGTACTTATTATTTTCTTTTTTCAGGATGTTCCTCTTGAATATCTAATAAAGCAACCTCGTCTCACAGAACCAATTTCTGATACAAGTTCACATATAGTAGATCCAATCTCAGTTCGTTCAATTACACCTCGTTCACCACATAGACAAGTTTCTAGTGAACGTCGATTGTCAATTAAAACTACTACACCTCGTGATACAAGTTCTCCACGTAAACAAATATCAAGTGAACGTCCAATTTCAATTAAAATTACAACACCTCGTGATCCATTTTCTCCACGTAAAACTACCAGTCATACATCACATTCAACAACTGGTACACCACGTAAAACTGCATCACCCACTATTGCTGATCGACATCGTGAAGCTCGTCAACGTCAACAACAATTATTATCACGTGTACGTGATGAAAATGCTCTTCGTTATGCTGATGCTGTTCTTCATGGTGAACCTATACCATCAACACGAACTTTAGATGAATTTCAAATTGAACCATTAGAAACAAGTTTTACATCAACTGTACGTGAAATGGCACATGCTGATGGCATGATTAATCGTACATATGATCTTGATTTTAACGATGATGATATTGATATAGGTGATGATTATTCAGAACGTATACCATCAAGACCAATGTCAGCTACAACATCTAATTTTAATCATAATGCAACTCAATATTCAACATCATCTTCAGTTCTACCACGACCATCATCAGCATCATCTACTAGATCTTCTCGAAAAATGACACCAATGGGAAAAGCTATTATTCAGGTTTGAATTGTGTTTTTTTTTTAATTTTTTTTTTGACAGTTAAAATTTCTAAATATACATTATAAATTTGTCCTGAAAAGGAATTAAATTAAAAATTTGAATTACTTCTAATTTAACTGTATACATATGTTAAAATTCAATAGAGAATTTTTCTTTCTATATACGATGAATATCGATATATATTCTATTTAGGCTAAACAAAAAGGTCCACCACCAGCTCGTAGTAATATGGCAAGAAAACGACCACTTTCATCTCCAGCTAATCTTGGACAAAAACGAGGTTCAATGACTACTCCTGTCAAAAGAAGTCAAGCTCAAACAACACTGGTACGAACAATACGTAAATCACCACCACCCGCTCATAAACCAACAACATACAATCAACGTGTACGTGCTTTAAATAAAACAGATAGTGAAATACGAACAAAAACAAAACCAGATTCAACTGATCCTAAAGCACTCATGCGTTTATATGGTACACGACGAGTACCAGGTCTTTATATACCTTATGAAAAGACGGAACTACGAGTAACAAAGACTTATTCAGAACGAATGAAAGAATTGCAACGACCTGCATCAGCTCATCTTCAAAGACAACGACAATCACAAAGACAACAAGAAGACGAATTAGAACAACGTCCATCAAGTGCTCCGTCCAGGTAAGCATTCATATGAATCATTTAAGAAATAATTTGTTTTTAAATTTATTTTTAAATATTATTTCAAGCTCTGTGAGTTTGTCTGATTGGGAAGTTGATGATCGTGTTAAACAATTATTGGCTGACGATCAAGATACATTACCTAGTAAAAAATTAACTAAAACAGTAACACCATTAGCTGATCTTGATGAACTTGATATTGATAATATGGATGAAACGACTTATAGTTTGACTCGTGTAACTGAACAAACAAATGACAATACTTATGGTGATGATCTTCGATTACTACAAAATCGACGATCTAGTGCCTTGAATACTAATACTTATGGTGGTACAAGACTTAGTGCACGAAGTAGTGCTGGTGGTGATATGACAGCACGTGATGAAAGTGAATTATCAAGAGGTGAAAGTAGTATTGGAAGCTACGTCGATTGGAGTATAATTGATAGAGATTTTCCGACAGGAACACAATAAACTATATACGTGTAATGTTTTTTTTCTTGTCTTTTATATGATTTTTTTCTTATCTCGTAGTATTAATAAATTTTACTGATGGGAATAATAAAATGATAGAAACAGCGTTTTTACGGTGTAGATTGAAAATATTTCTTTTGTCTTAATACCACAGCTGATGAACTTCTTAATGATGATAGTAAACAAATTGAGATAATGAATTTCACAATATACCTTTTTTTTTAACATTCACTTATTATTAAATCTCTGTTATTATAGAAGAAAAAATAAGAGTTCCATTTTTATACTCTCTGAATCGATTACTTCTTGTTTTTAAAACGTGCTTTACCTATCATTTGATTTTATTTGTACGAGAAAAATTCTCTTGTCTTACATGTAATATAAATTGATCGAAAGATTTCAAGAATGTATAGTATTTGTGAGACAAATTTGTGAAAATTTTATTTCTTGTATTGGTATATTGAATAGAAATACATGTGTAGTTAAAACTTTCATCATCATTATTTGAACTAGGAAAAAAAATAGTTTACGAAAAGAATACTATGAATGACAGAATAATAATAAAACACAAAATCATCATCATCTCAAAAAATAAAAAGTAAATAGTCATACTGATCCATTACATCTGAAAAAAAACTATGCCTACCATTGTCGAATTATTTAAAGAGTAACCTAGTCTGTAAAATTTTTGTCATTCTACATATTACATGCTTACGCGATACACGGTTTTTTTTCAGGTATGATCTGTTCTTTCTCACATCATTCAAATACATTAATTTGTAATTATCTACTTTTTCTCTAGCAAAAATAATATTCAAAGTTTCTAGCCTTTTTTGTCTTTTGATAATCTCTAGTGATGCCTATTCCTTAAAAAATATTAAATAGATTTAACTGACAATTCAGCTCAATGCACTAATTGTTACTTGATTATCATTAAATGTTTATGTGACAAATGTATCAGCGATGCTTGCTCAAATTGCCCTTACGCAGTTCATGCACTACTCATATAATTCAGTCGCCGACAGGTGCCTATCAATAAAAAATCAGAACATTGGTAAAACGAGTCATCGTCCACTATCACCCACTAACAGCGCGGATTTGACGCTGATCCTACTAACACGATACACTGGGAGAACATTCATTAATTAACAATCATTACCATTCAATATGAAAATGGAGTAGGGGGAAATTCAAGAAGAAAAATTTTCGTAAGGACCTACTATTCTGCTCCTTGATTTTAGATCCATCTGATCGATGAATTGTCAGAAACAGCTCATCCATCGTTTCACCGAAGTGGTTGGATCAGGGACAAAAGAAATCTCGAATCGATTTTTGGTGAAGGAAAGGATGCAGGTCGCTTCTGAATGGCGTTCTTTTTCATGAACTTTTTGGAATCTTTTTATGATTTTCAGTTGCGCATTTCAGATATTTTTGTACGAGTTTTCGTGGAAATTTTGTGCATTTTTGTCCAGTAAAAACTTTTCCATTACAAAGTTATGAAGATCATAAACTAGATAGAAAATAATTCAGAAGTTCCTTGAGAGTATTTAGTTCATAAGTAGCATATTTGTCTGTCTAGATTGACAACTCGGAAGTTTATTCTAAAAGTGCAGAAAAATTGCCTACTCATGGTAAAATACCATACAGCTAAGTGTTTAAAACAAACGAAACATAGGCTAGTAGTGAAGGTTAAATAAGCATTTGAATTATCCATAGCTGACTATTTCCAGGCGAAGCTTTGATGATAATTATAGTAGTGATGAACCTTGAAAAGTAAACAAGATACTTTGTTCTTTTCGATTTTTGATAAAAGCCCTTCTACTCTGGCTTTTAGTTGAAATATCTGTTTGTCCTTGAAATAGAATAGTAATGCAGTTAGCGTCAAAGCATATATCGCGAAAGACTTTTTCGTTGCTCACAATTCTTTTATTATTCATTATTGTCAAAACAAGCAAGAACAAAAGCTAATTGGTAAATTTTTTCTGAAATAATAACACAATGACTGACTGCTGTCTTGTTACTATCGCTCTATTCCTTCCGCCATTTGCCGTCTACTTACACGAGAATGCATGTAATAATCAAGCACTGATCAATTTACTACTTACCATTTTCAGCTTGTATTGCTTGGGCTTTATACATGTCATATGGATTCTTTATCATTGATGAAACAGTTTTAAAAGCAACATTAATTTTGATTATTTTGATGCTATGGATGTTTGTTGTCTCTTCGAAATATGCAATAAAATAGTCTAATATATCTATAATTCATTTCTCGATGTGATTCTCGAAGCATTCGATTGTTACTTCTAGTTGTCTCAAGAAGTGAGTCCATGTAGATGAGTTTGACGCGTGTGAGTATGTTCGAAGAGAATTAGCACATCGAAATCCACGCACACCCACAGCATCACGCACAGTCTCACGTTCTCACCTACAACTACACACGTGAAGTTTTACACTAGTATGTCAATGATTTGTTTAAAAAGGAGAAAGATTGATGCTTATATCCCAGTGAAATTAATTTTTATTTTTTTATTTATATGTGAATTATATTTTTCATAAAATAAAAAGATAGACTATAAATAAACGTATAGCTGTGAGCAACCCATATAGAATGCGTACGAAATATCTAACGTGTCGGAAATACCAGAAATTAATAAGCAAACAAAAACTTAATGTTTTATCCAGTAGCATTGTCTGCGGCTTGGGAAGATGGCGATTGGATTCCTTCATTAAGATTAATAGTAAAAGCAACCGGTGTTCGAGCACGATTTCGTCGTCGAACCTTATAAAGCTCTCGAACAATTACTGTATCACGCGGTTTTTGAGCACCGGATTGTGGTAAATTAGGTAAAGTAGGCTGGTCAAGCATAAATGTACCCTGTCGTTGTAAATCGTTCGTTAAAGATTGTTGTTCCGGAATTGGTGCAATACTAGAAGCTCTACCTCTTCCTCGCATAGCACCACCTCCTCGACCGCCACCGCCGCCGCCGCTGCCCCTACCGCCAAAGATTGGTCGATCATCTCCTTCGAGTGATCGTGCTGCAGTTGTACTCGTTACATACTGACGTCGTGGAGATGGTTCTGGTGGTGCTGCCGGAGGAGCAGTGGATTGTTGTGCTTGTCGAGAATTACTCGCTGCAAATGGATTTGGACCAAAGATAGACGTTGATTGAACATTAGATGTAGAACGACGAGCTGCTTGTTGATCCCATGAAGCTGTATAGGATGATGTAGTAGTACGAGCAGGCACTGTTAAACTGAGATCAGCAAATGGATTATTAGTATTTCGTGGAGTATCGATTTGTGTAGGACGATAAGCAATAGTTTGAGATAGTAAAGGAGCTTGTGATGCTACAGAACCATTAGAATAATAAAGATTTTCTGAATGTCGACCTAAAGAATTTAATAACAAAATAAGTAATCAATTATTTTCATTCATAGACTTACGTTGATTATTTTGAGATTGTTCTTGAATATTTAATGGATTTCGTGACGGGGTTGCATATTGTGTTGCAGTTTGTGGATATGGTACTGGTGAAAATTGTGGCTGTTGTTGAAATTGAGCAACTTGACTTATTGAAGTTTGTGATTGCTGCTGCTGCTGCTGCTGTTGTTGTTGTTGTCCTTGAGATCCATCAATCAATCGACCCAAATTTTGTATAGCAGAAGAAATAGCTGCTTGGTCATTAAATGTAAATCGTAACTGGATAATTTTGTCGATAATATATAGACATATTTTAAATCATACATATGACCTTATTCATTACCTGCTCACCTTCTGCACATCAGATGATATTTGTGCTTGTAAAGCATCAATTTGTTGTGCATAAAGATTAGATTGTGATCGCATATGTGCTAAATCTACATCAGTGATTAATTGCCCACTTTTTAAAATAAATAAATCAAATCATAAATAATTCAAATAAAATTGTTATTCTTTTTTTTTACTTGGGAAAGGATGTTCCTACTGATTCACAAAAATTTGCTACATTTGCTAATTCAACTTCAGCAGTTTCTTGTTGTATACGAAACGTTCTAAAACAAAAAAAAAAGAAATATTGTAGAACAAGTACAATACACATCAATCATTTTTATATACCTCAATTGTGATTGCATGTACGCTTCAGCTTCAGTAAGTAATGCTGTTTCACGATGTTTTAATTCATCAATTAAAGCAACTATAGTTGATGTTATTTCTCGTCGAATTTGTTCATAATTAGTTTTAACACTATTAACTCGTTGTTCATAAGATGAAATTTTATCGCTTAATTTTGGTAATGTACGACGAAGTTGACTAATTGATGAACTTATATTAAAAAATGTTTCACGTAAATGTGGTTCACGACAATCACCACAGAAAAACTTTGAACAATCATGACATTTAATTAGTGCTAAAAATAAATTAATAAAATACATATAATTTTCTTTGGATGTAGTTAGATTATCTTCTAATTTATTATACTTTGTCTTTGTTGTTTACAATGAGAGCACCGATCAGGAGGATTGATAATTGGTGATGGTTGAGTATCAAAAAATCCAATCATTGTTAAATCAGCTGGAAATGCTTGAATTCCACCTGATAATAAAATTTTAATTAAAATTAATTACATAGAAAAATCTTTTTATCAAACCTCGTGGAATCATATGTTCTCGACGACATTCAGGACAACGTAATGAACGTGCTCGTGGATCGACCAAATTTGTTAAACATGGTGCTAAACAAAATTTATGCGTACATGGTAAAACTTTTGGAATACGAAATTTATCCAAACAAATAGGACATGTTGTCAAACGTTCCATTCGATTTGAATTATGCCCACGAGTAGTAGCCATTTATCAGTTTTTTTTTCTTTTAAACTTTTATTTTCTTTTCGATGACTCAAATCATTTTTCGATAAAGGAAATATGAGAATAATATAACACCATATTTTGTACTGTGCAGTGTCGTTGGCAATCATCCTCAGAATGTTCTGAACAAGATGTCGCAATCTATTGGAGTTTTTCGTAATTATGATTTTTTTTATACTTTGTTCGAACATGTGTCTGATTCGATGAAAATAATAGTAAAAATGCAACGAAAGCAAACATATATCATTGCTCAGGAAGTATATGTTACAACTCAACATATCGATTTTACATCAATCGAAGAGATATGTGTATTCGAAATGAATAGGAATTTTTAAATAGATTGAAATTAGTATACAGATCATCTCAATTAATATTTATTGTTCTTCGAAAATTGATTTGCAACAAAAATGCGAAACCCTAAAATATTTATTGATTACCAAATTTTCAATGGAAAAATCTCTCACAATGCAATCACATTATTTTTTAAGATAGTCTCTGAAGGAAAAAAAACATTTTTTTGTAATTTTATAACTGGTTTCTTCTACAGCAGAAGTTATTGATGAACTTAGCACTACTTGATAAAACTGTTTATGTCACTTGAGAATAATATATTCATAGAGATGAACTCTAATAATGTATTTTTGGAGAGAAATTCGATCAATCTGGATGGGAAATCGTATTCATCATATCCGATATTGTACGAACTTCTGCACGTAATAGAAGATACTGGATCTTCTATTATGTCTAAACGTACAAATTTCTCATGGAATCTTCCATTGTGTCTTATTTATTTTCATAATTTCTAGTTGGACGGTTTTCCAAAAATAAACCAAAACAATTTCGAGGATTTGAAGAGAGACTTTTAGGCTTTTAAAATTTCAGAAATAATGTTAATCTTAGTCTTTTAAGATGTTTCAGCTCGAAATCCTAGAAACTAGATATATTTTTATATAAATATACTAATTAAAGTTCCAATTTTGCGAGAAATTAATTAATTGCGAGAGTAGAAGGTTCTAAAAAATTCATGATTGCATATTTTATACATTGTATATGATATTATCAATTAGACTTCAAGCGAATTGTAACCTGAACGTGTGTTCTCGATTATACACAACAGCCACTAGCAAATAAATTTAAGTCAAAATAAATAATTCCCTATCACAATAATGAACAAAAAAGAATCACTGATACCATAGAAAATCAATTATAAATCAACATTTCTTGAGTATTCGAACTTCAAAGAAAAAGTCTTTATTTTAATTAACTTTCTTGAAAAATATGTCATTTCTCATTATATCTACATTAGTAGGATGCAAACTATTGCATTTACACGATGTTTATGAAACATTGGCCTCCTTACTGAAAGATCCGTTTAACATAAAAACTATAATATATCATAATGGTTTCAACCGAAGTTTTTATGTTCTCTGCAACTTTAATTATAATCCACTTGAAGGTTAGTTATGTGAAAAATTCGTTCGAGTAATTTTTTTTACAGTTATTAGATCTAAAGTATGAAATTGAAAATTCTCTGATTAAATCCTAATTATCTATCAAAATACTAAATTAACTTTGTAGCTGATTTATTTATGTCTATTAAAGTTGTTATCATATTTATGAAATGACAATTGATGGTAGGATTATCCTATTATTTGCTATGAATGCAAACAAGAGATTGGAAAAAAACAACAAACTTTAATCAATGAAGTTTATTTTGATGAGAATTAATTTCTAAAAACAATGTCCTTCATAGAACGTTGTTTTTCTGAAGAAAGTTCTTGAGCATCCTTATGAATATAACTCAATCAATGATTTTAACCACTCAAGCATCTTAATTGGATTTAATAAATAACACATATATATATATTGTCATATTTTATCTTCTTTCAACGTAACTAGTATTATTATCACATAGTTTCTATTGTCCTTGTTTGTATTTAATTAAGGAATAGATTATCGTTCTTGTCATTGTGTGCAACAAATCGAGTTTGATACTTGGTTGTGCATTGCCGTTCTATTGTTTACACATACACATCTATAAAAAATGATTCAGAACGAATAATAGTGGAATCCAGAATAAGAATAATGAGAGAATCGTTTTCAATTAATGCACTTATTGAATCATGTTATGTTTATTAAGAATTCTCTCAAATAGGACATTTAGGTGCTTGAAGCAAACATGAGATTGTGTTAGAATTGGTTTTATGATTACTGCAAAATATTTCTTTATACAAGGTGGTGTCCCAAAAGTCATGATCACTTAATAAATATGAATAATTTCACTCATGATCAGACTTAACCAAAACTTTCGTTTTCTATTTGACATAGGAAAGTAATAAGTTTTAATTCGTTAAGACAATGTTTATTAATAATATAGACAATATAATACTTCCAGCTACAATATAATAACTAGACTTTTTTTCGATGCTACCAACAATATGAACCGATTTATTTTTTTCGAAATTTATTAGAATTTCTATCGTTATTATGAACTTCAGATCATGTAGATGTTTGATTATTACTTTCTAATCATCTCTTTGACATATTTCAAAACTATCGAAAACTTTTATAACTGTGAAAACAAATATATTAGACAATTTTATAACTCATTTTAACATTACAATTGACTCTCTTACTTTCTTTTCGTAAGAATATATTAAAACAAGTATTTAGCAAGTTATGGTAAAAAATTTAAATGATCTGAAGTCTATAATAATCATAGAAATTCAAGTAAATATGGAAAAATATGATATATATTGTTGGTAGCATCGACAAAAGTCTAATTTTTAAGCCAGAAATGTGACATTTTCTACACTGTTATTCAACTTATGGTCTATAAGAATCAAAATTTACTAGTCTTCTATTACAAATAAAACAAGAGTTTTGATTAAGCTTGATCAGTAGCCGAGCTATCTCTAATTATTAACTGTCCATGTGATACATTTGCCTGAACTACTGTATTATATCGGCAATTGTTTTTTTCATTGATTAATAGAACTAATGAAAGCAGATTGAACACTAAGAAAATTTTAAAAATATCATTTCACATATTCACATACGGATAACAATATTTAATGGCTTTACTACGTTAACTTTCATCTTCAATCACCTTTAAAGTTTTGTTCTTCTGTATGCAATTAGTACTGTTTTCAATGTAGTTAGTTGGATTGATTTGAAATTCTTTTTTTAATATAAATGACGGTTACAAACTTAATTTCAATACTTTGCTGCCATTATAAATTGTATTTATTTCTATATGTTTTATTTTGTTACATCCTATATTAATAATAAGTATAATATTTTTTAGATAAAATTTATTCTCAGTTTTCTGAGTTCTAGTCAACAAAATAATAAAGCAAAGAACAATCAATGGTTGGTATTCATATCGACTGTTCGTGGTCTTATGATTCTAAGAAATAAATATAATTTGGTCTAAGTGACAAATTAGTTGAGTAAGTTTTTTTTTTTTGATTAAAAATTTTCTCATTTTGTATATTTCTATATCTTCAGTTGTTCTTGAATAAGATCTAATCGTTTCTGGGGAAAATATGAGTATTATCTATTCAATTGTTCTCATAAACGATCAGATGTTACTCAAAAAATAACTTACGATATATCAATATACAAAATATGAGAATTTTTTATTGAAAAAAATTGTTTAACCAATTTCTTGTGCATGTCAAATTACATTTATTTCTAGAATCACAAGATTACGGATGAGTAGATTCAAATTCAGATCATATCGTTAAAACATGAAACTATTGCCAGTTTATTGCCGTTATAGCGCATATTATACCAAACAATCAACCAGTAGTTTTTCTCCAGTTTAAATCACATGGGTAATCATAACTTTTGGAACATTCTGTAATTTGATCAAATAAATATAGATAAAATGAATAGTTATTTTATTATTATTATTATCATTTTTATAATTCATCTAACTATTTATTTATTCATGATTAGAATTTCTGTATTAGTATTAATAAGAATAATTGTTTTCATAGCACATGTTGATTATATATTGATTACTTTCAAATGATGTTCAATGATAAAATATTGTTCATAGTCTTAATCATAAATATGAAATTGAAATATAGCCTGATGGACGCAAACATGCATTTATTATTCAATTTGTATATGCACGTGTGGACACACCATTCTACTGTCATTCTATCTTTCTCGCTCTTACGGATGATAGCGTGCACATAAAACAATGTTTGTGAACTGAGTTGTTATTCCTCGATTCGATCGTATTTCATTTATCTTCTATTTTATTACATTTTTTTTCTATTTTATTACATTTTTTTTCTAGTTTATTTGAATGTTTTTCTATTGGTATAATTTTATTTTTAACTGATTTATTACATGAATCTTACAACAGAGTGTAGAACGAGAATAATTGAAAGAGAAAGGAAAAAAAAATAGAACATGAAATGTTCAAGATACGAGATCAGGAAAGAGAAAAGGAATAAGAAAAATGTGTTAGACTATTTTATTTGTTATTACTACTCATTGTTTGATAGCTAAATGTGAAGAGAAATGCACACGAGTGAATGAATGACTGAGCGAGTGATGATGGTGGTAGTAGTAGAAACGCAAAAGATCTAGCATAGTAGTAGAGTAGAGAAGAAGCCGATACCGAAGTCGAAGACAAAGAAGAAGAAGAAGAAGGAGAAGAAGAGGAAGAAGAACATGCAGAAGAAGATGAAGGAAGATCAGCAGAGAAAAAAAAAGAAAAAAAAAATAACACACACAAGAAGGACACGCAACCGATTTTTGTGTTGTGCTTGCTGGTCTTTGTTTTTTGAAGGACACAAAAAAAATAGCAATCTATTGCGCGTACCACGATGACTACTTTTTTCTGCTACTATATATTATGATGTCGTTGTTTTTTTACAGATTATCAGGTGGTAACTATATGGTTATGATCATTTATTCATGAATTTCCCTATTAGCATGGTGATTTGTAGTAACTTACAATTGTTTTCTGTCTATTTTGAATTTACTGCTATAATAAATTTAAAACATATCGTATTTTTAGTCTTGTTATCGTATTATCTACATATGATTACTCGTTTCATTTGTCGGATCGATCGACATATTGACGTTGTGTCTCTAAGGAGCACTTGTTGATGTATTCCTATTGACACTAACATAAAAGTATTTTTTTTAAACTACCTAGAACCACTCGAAGATAAGAACGAGACGAGAAAGATCGAGCTAGTCTAACCTTAATGTGTAGTTCTGTGAGTATGCCTATGCATGTGCGATGATGATAAATCATTCAGAATTGTTCCTTGAAAGTGCATGCGTGCGCGCATTTAAAATCTTTTGACATGATGATGAGATGCATCTTTTTCTTTTTTGTTTTTTTTTTACACATACATAATCGATTTGAAAGAGGTAAGAACCGGGAAGGTAGCAACTTTGTAATATATACGCATAGATTTTTTATAAATGTATTTTTATATTTCGATATGTTTTTAAGTATGATCAATGAACATGATGACAAATCTATTTATATACCTAGATTTATATATGTAAAGAATAGAATAAGATTTGTGACTATCTTATATAAGAAATATTGTTAGACAATATAAGGCGATTTTAGATGAATAAATAAGCTAAGAAAAAGAAGGTAGAATAGTGACATATTCTAATCCATCTCGTGCATCATATTTATTATGAAACATACATGTAATTTTTTGTTTGAGAGATTTCCTAAGACTTGAATGGATTCTATTTTTTACTGGGTTTTTTTTTTGACTAAGCTAGAAAAAGATATATTTTTGTGCATAAACTGGAATACCTCTTTATCACTTGTAGCTGACATTAAGTAAAAAGATATTGCGGAAATGAGCACAAGGTTTCAACCTCTCATTATTACGATCATTAGAAGCATAGATGAAGAAAAGAAAAGAAGAATTAACTGCATTAATTTATTAAGTTTCATCACTATGTTATAGCATCTGTGTATATATGTTCCTATCTAGCTTCTATTTTTTTCATTTTGATTAATCTAGTATGTACATAAGCATAACCTTTCATTTCACTTCTATGTCATGTAATGTTTACACAGAAACAAGAAGACAGAAGAGTATTCTAATCATATGCATATAAGAAGAACTACTCTTATTAAACTACTCTTCCTTCTTATGTTTGTTGGATCTATCAATAGTGGCAGTTAGGATACAGCGACTACATAAAAAGATGAAAGCAAAAAGAGAGATAGAGAGCGTAAAGAGAAAATGGAAAAAAAATTTACCCCTCGGCATAAAATCCGTCATCAGATGAATGTCAAAATCTCTTTCCCATGACTTTCATATAGACGTCGATGTGGATAGAAAACATAGAAATAAATAGACAGTAGTCATATTATAAAAGGTGCTGTCATTCGAATAGATAGAAAAAAAATCTTTTTTTTTTTGATCTATTTTTTCTATTCCGTTGAGTAATTACAATCTAAGCATATTTATACGATCAAATTTTTTTGTAAGTCTTTTTTTTCTTTTCTTCTATATCTAAGCAAGTTGCTTAGTTGAATAGTGACAAGAAAGAAAGAAAGCAAACAAATTTATTTACCAAAACAAGACCTCGTAATAACATGTGCTACTATTGTTACTATTTAACACATGTTAACTCTTCAACATCATCATCATCATCAAATATTCACAATAATAATCAATATTTTCGATATTATTTTAAACGTCGTCGCATGCGATCATATAATGTAACTATGTCATTATGTCTTGTTAGTTTAACATTATTTTTCGTAATGTTAAATATTACTCTTGTTCTTTCACAACCATCACAAATACAACAACAACAACAACAACAGCACGAACGATCATCAAATAAAATTCTTCAACAAAATTCTCGAGGTAAAAAAAACGTGCTTAATTTGTATTATTTGGCTAATAATATGATATATATGATTTTGTTCGATAAATATGTTGTTAAATTTTTCTTCAACATAATTTGCGATCAATATTTATTTCATAAAAATTTAAGCTTACGTATTATTCATTATCAATGAATGTAAACACTCATTAATCTTTTCTTTCGAAAGATTTAATATGTTCTTGTTGTTCCACAAAAAAATATAAAAACTTTTGAAATTGCATTGAAACAACGTCTGAAAAATAAAAGCTAATCTAAAAAAGATTTTTATTATTTTAAAAATTTTAATTTAAAATTTTTCTACAATAGATGGTTCTGGTGTTAATAAAGATCATCAACAAGGCAAATATCATCACTCTGTATCATCATCCAAACCAACTAATTCTAGTTCAGCAATTCATCCACCAAAAACAAAACGTTTAACACATGAAAAACGTCTAATACGTGATTTACTTAATAATTATCCAACAATATATGCACGTCCAATACGAAATGTATCTGAACCAGTAACTGTTTCATTTGGTTTAACACTTATACAATTATTTGATCTTGGTTCAACTGGTCAAACAATGCAAACAAATACATGGAAAACATTAATTTGGAAAGATATGAATTTAGTTTGGAATCCTGCTGATTATGGTGGATTGGCAACAGTTTGTTTACCAGCTGATTCAATTTGGACACCAGTAATATCAAAAAATAAAAATTCTTTTTTTTTTTTTGTTTCAATGAAAAATTTTAAAAAAGAAATTTCTTTAGGATGTTGTTTTATACAATTATGCTGATGAACGTTTAAAAGATTGGCGTGAAATATCTGCTGTTATACAACATACAGGTGATATTCTATATGTACCAGCAACAATGCAATTTAGTGTTTGTTTTCTTGATATAACAAAATTTCCTTTTGATATTCATCAATGTTCATTAACATATCGTTCATGGACATATGATTTTTCAAAAGTTGTACTTTCATTTAAAGAAGATATACCAGCTATGGATATGACATCATATTTAAATTCAAATGAATGGAAAGTAATACCACTTGAAGCAAAAAAAACTATAACAAATGATACATTTTCATTATTAACATTTACAATGATTATTCAACGAAAAGGTGGTCTTTATGGTTATATTTTAATATTACCTTGTTTACTTTTATCTGCAGCAACAATGGTAGTTTTTTGGATTCCACCTGAATCACCAGCAAAAATGATTTTAACTATATCGATTTTTTCTGGTCTATTTCTTTTATTACTTCTACTTGCTGAATCAATACCAGGTATGTAAATAAGAACTTATTGGAAAAAGAATATTTTTCCTTAATGAATGTTAAATTTACATGTTTGATTATTAAGAACGATAATATGAAAAAATAAAACGAATGAAATCGTTATTTTTACTGATTAATCTGCATACTAACTACTAGAAGTCAAATAGAAATTTAATCTATTCTTTAAAAGCAAATGTGAAAAAAATATTCTTGTTTAATTTTGATCTTTTCTTTCTTTCTTTTTTGTTAAAAATCTGTTTATATCACAGTACTAGCTAGTTTTAAAATAACTAAAGAGTGAAAAGCTCCAGTGATGTCTATTTCCTGCGATCACAAAGAGTAAAGTAAAGATTAATTAATCAAGTTTTAAAAAGTATTTACTCATTTCTACTTACAGTCATCATGAATCCATTATATTTCCTATATTGAAGTTCTATCAAATATGCTCTAATCTACTCTATGACATTTCTGTATCATCGGAATTCAAACATAAACATTTGAAACTATACTGTTTGATTGACATAATACATAATTTTATTGGACGAAAAAGCTGAGATTTTTTATTTTTATTTAGCAATCTCATTAAAACACGATAATTATATCTATATATATATCTATATATATATATACCACTAATTGACTTATCAGCTTAGACAGGCAACTTTCAATTAGTGAATATCTTTGAGAATGAATTCTATCTTATTTTGAATGGTTGAGTAGTGCTTACGTTTAATTGCTTTTTCTTTTTGAATTAATTCCACAGGCAATTATTAGATGTAAAGAATCAATAAATTTTAATAGCTTTTAATTTCTATGAATCATCTTTTTTCTCTCAACATCTAGTATGAATTAACTTATCAGTCTGATATTCTAAAAGTCTATAAATTAATATTAAATAATATATCGAATGTACACAAGTCAAAGCATATTAAACTAACATATTTTTATCGTTAATAAGGCACAATTATTTTTATTTAGTGAAAGAATCAATGATTATCTTATGAAGAAATGAATTTATTTTTATAAGAAAATTCGAATCTTTATTCAAATATATACTTTCAAAAAAAAAAAGTGATGAGTAAAGAAAATAAAAGATGTGATCGAAATAAACATAATTAAAATTCATTAAGAATTTGAAACAAATATTTGTAAATAATAAAGATAGGTTTTTTTTTCTAAATACTAATTACTAGAGCTCATTGAGTCTGGATCCGAAAATTTTGAATTCGATAACCTCTACCAATTACACCCAATTATACTTTGACATAAACTTGAAATAGTACTAAAATAGGAACCTACCGAAATACAACATTTGATCAATTACAAAAAGTTCATGGTTGGTTGTTGTTCAGTTTTCTGATTGCAAATCTCTTGTTATCTTTATCGTTTTGCATGATTTAATTATCTTAAATCGGATCAAACCATGTATTTACTATCGACATGATGAGCTTTAATAAATATAAGCGGCTTATTCAAATCATCAATAATTCTAGTTAGTTTCAGTTTGATTAATAGTGCAATGAGTTCTAGTAACATTATTAAATTATGTTGAACGAGTTTTTTTTTCTTTTTCGATAGATCATTTTTTCATAGTATTGAATAGACCTTTTGAATGCTGCTTATAGAAAATATTTTGCTTCATCATATTTATGTAAAATTATAAAATAGATATATTTACATAGATAATATTTGGAATCTGACATTAAGAAATGTAAAATTATGAAATAAGCATAGAGCAATGTATTGACATAGTTTATTTAAATATTTTCTAGTCACTAATATAATGTCAAATAATTCAATTATAGTCATTTGAATGAGTGACATAGTTTGTAGTATCATTTATTGAGTTATTATTTATTCAAGTCGAAATAAATATTCAATAAAATGCAACCTATTGAATTAATTAATAACATACTTTACAGTTAGAAAAGAATAGTTTAGTATTGAATAACAGTTTTTTTTAAACTTTTAAAGTATATAAATATTTATTTAAGGTGGTGGTGGTACTCCTCACATTGGTCATTATTATTGTGTTAATATGGTTGTTGTTGCAGTTACAGCTGTACTTGCTACGATTGTTATACATATATATGTTCGAGGTGATCGACGTCAAGGTGTTCCTCCATTTATACGTCGTTTTTTTCTTCAATATCTTGCTCGACTTTATTGTATGACTCCAAAAACACCTCCTAATTTTTCTGGTTCTGTTCCATCTCGTTATGGTTCACCATTAGCTGGAGCTCTTCTATTACCAGAGAAAATATTTTTAACTCCACGTTATCATGAAGAAGAATTTTCTAAAAAACTTAACTTACTTAAACAACGTTTTCATGAATTTCATCGACGGCAACAACAACAGCAACAACAACAACAACAACAAAGTTCACTTGCTGGTAATACAATGGCAAATGATACAATAGCCGCATTGAGTGTTAATTTACGTTCTATTGAAAATGATTTAAAAGAAATTCGAGATTATTTAAGACATATGAAGAAAAAAATTGAAGATACTGATCGATCAAATAAAACAGCTGATGATTGGAAACAAGTTGCTCTTGTACTTGACCGAACATTTTTCTTTGCTTATTGTTGTTGGCTTGTTTTATCACTTATTGTTATGTTTCCAAAGACGACTAATATATCCAAAGGTACTTGGTCAACACCAACTTTAACAACAGTCACTAATGGGACAACTAACTTAAGCAATTTAACATTGATTTAATTTTTTTTTTAATTTCTTTTCTTTTTCTTGTATAAATAATATACCGGTGCTATACTCTTATTTTAAGTTTTCTTTTCCTTCTATCTTTTCTATGATCGATTCACAATTTTTGTATTGTATGCATGCAATTTTTTTTCTGTGAGCGATTATTATTTAGAAGACTACAATATGATACATCATGTGTAAATCAGAATATTCTTGATTTTTATATTGAAAAATTTTATCTTAGAACAGATATGTGGTTAAACAGAATTGTTTCAATAGCAATTACTCTTCTACGATTCGAAAGCTATATACATATGAGAAATGTTAATTGTTTTATTTTAATAGTTTGACGATCATTATAAATTGATTTTAATTTTGATGATTTTGCGTCGTATATCGCACGTAAAAGTGAACTATTGAAAAAGAGAATGAAATTCAATTATATTTTAACTGATATATGTATAGGCCACGAAATATTGCACTTTTAAAAAAAAATAGTATCATTATAATGTGTTGCTTGCATTTTTGTTGTTAAATATCAATGCATCGTATATTTGTTTTGGAAAACTTTCTAAAGTATTATGTAAATCAATAATTAGCTAAGTAGTATCAATCGAACTAAATCAATATCAAAGGAAAATATGCATTTTATACACTATTCAGGATTGATAATAACATAGTAATATATTAATCTTTTATAAAATTTATGAAATTAAGTGCAATCTCCTAAAAAAAGAAAAAAAAATATCGGTATTTATATGAGTGCCACACTTTCTAAGTAGTAAAACAACTAAGAATAATGATATGATAGATAATTGACAAATCATTGTGTTTGTTCTAAATACATAGATTGTATTTGACATTATTCAAGAAAATATCTGATCTCAAATTGTTAAATATTTTAGTACGTTGCTTAGCTACAGACTATTGCAAGATACCTATGATGTTGTAAACAAAACTTATTTATATTCATAAAAGTATTTTAATTTGTACGTGTACCGACCTGTACCTAAAGCATAGTATTCACTGTTCAATGTTAGTTTAGTAGTGATATTTATTGGGCTCATTTACTTGCAGTAGATTTCTACGAATGATAAGATCTCTACAAGATATGTTACATTCAACTTTGTAATATCAATAAATCATTATCGTTAGAGTTTGGTAAAAGTCGTGTGAAATTGATTAATATCATCATAATGAAATCGAAATAAGAAAAAAATGGATGTTCTTGGCTTCTCAAATGAATTATATACATATTCATTTATTTTCGTTTGATTATTTCGTAATTGATTGCACTAACTACCGATAAAATAAAAGTATTTCTTCGTATGAACTCCTGAAATGTTTTTACTGTATATGTCTATTGTTTTTCTTCCAAAAAAAGTCTCATTCAAAAGATGTCATATATCCGACCTATGATGTATATCTACTAGACTTGTCGCATACAAAGAAAGATAACAAATAAAGTACTTAAAGAATAAAAGAAATTATCTGACATCTTGCTTAGCTTATGTGCCTTTCTAAAAGGAAATGATTGAATATTTAGTAAAATAAAGTATCACTTAAATACGGAGTATATGTGATAATTGTTGTCAAAATGACAACGAGTAAACGAGACAAATTAGTCATTTAGGTCACAGTGACTGTTTGTGTATATTACAGAGACGCAACTTCTTAACGCCTACTGAATAAAATGTTCTATTGATTGGCTCACAAGTGTTAGGAAAGCACATTATAGTCTTATTCCTGTGTACTCTTATCGTATATTTTTGAATGAGAACACAAACTTTTTCTGTTGCTTTTCGGAAGAACATTCTCATTAATCAACTTTTCTCTTTCTTTTACTCTGTAATTCTGCTCCGTCTTGTTTTTATTACGTAGTTTTGTTCTTACGTTCCCTTAATTTAGACACGTGCTCACCATCATCCATACACTCTTCTACATCCATATCCTTGAACAGGAGAGAAATTTTAAAGACGTATGTGATTGTGCTAATTGTGAGTCCTCTTTGAGATTTTTCACGTTCACTCAGAAAACACCAAAGCTGACTGCTTTCATAATATAAGATGCTTGAAAAGACAAATTTTCTATCTGGAAAACGTCCAAAAAGTTTTCTCATAATACTTTTGACATACGTCACACATAAAAAAAAGTCATTTTTGTATGCAAAATACATCAAAATATTACGAAAATAAAATGTTACACGTTTTCAGGATGCAATACTTGCCTTTTAAAGGATTTTCACACATCTTTTATGATTAATGTAACTAGTCTTGATATTCCCTGAATGGATATGAAAACGTTCAAATGAAAATCGCGATTAAGGCTATTAGACATGTTTTCGAAAACTCTTGTCTAGTTGGGTATGTGAGTGCAATTGGATGTGTGAGTTAGGGTGTCGACGAGGATATATAAAAGATCCACACTGACATCGACACCTACACCCCTATAATAAATTGTCGTGACGAAGTTTCCTAGCACTGTTGAAGACTCTTGTTGATATGTGTCTAGACGAGACACTCGAGAGTAGTAAGTAATTCAATTTTCCAGTCGTTGATTGGTCGTCTAACAAAACGTTGAAAGTTGTCCTTTGGGATATAATCATTTAGAAACTTTCATGATCATAAAAATGTTATTTTTCTCCGAATTAACATTATAGTAGTGGCATAAATTTTCTCTTCTATCCGTAATTCAACGAACAGCTCTTTCCTACTTCGGTCAAGTCTCATTCATTATTAAACAGAATAAAGAGTAATAAAGAAATTCCTATTATTATATTGTTCAGGTGTGCTTGAAAAAACTATCAAGACAAAATGTTGGATTTTGGTAATTATTAAGCTCGATCTTATTCACTGTAGAGATCAGCAGCTCTGACTGGCTCTTACTAAAGCTCAATATCATATAGATTTCAAATAAGTTCGAAAAAAATGTTCGATACGGGTTTAAGAGCTGAAGATGGCGCAAAGACCAACCTCACATTCATTCATACACGGTATTAAATGCGTTTCTATTGAATATTTGTTGTTAGATCATTCTGACATAGTCGATTGGAAGTAAAGATGAAATTGAATGAAATCAAATTTGCTTTAATAAAATAAAAAATGGAATAGAAAAGACTAATAAAATTCGATTAGTTGATGAGTAATTGTCAGTCTTCTTCTTCGGCATCAATTATTGGCACTGCTTGGCGATTATCATTAATTCCGAAAAGATCTTTCATATGCATCACTGCAAATTGTTTATAATCATTGACTTTATCCATATATAGATTCATCAGTAATCCCATATATTTCTTCATTGATGACGTATTGTTTATTAGGATAGCATAATCTTTTCTCGGAAGATGTTTGTTCTCTTCATAAAACTGTTCAATTGATTGAATCATTTGATTGAATTGTGGTCGTACTTGCTCTTCCATTTGCGCTATTTTCTTCAAAGCTACTATGTCATCTTTGAATAATGATCTTAAGTCGTCCGATTGTTCATTGATTATGTTTTCAAATAAATGTTGTATAGAAATCACGCTATTTTTACAATGGTGTAATTGAAGATACTTGTGAGTTTTGATTTTTACTAAATAAGACGTTTGATCTGGACGAATGATTTCAACAACATAACCTTCACCTTGAGTTTCATCACGGATGTTTTTCACGAGTTCTTTTTGAGAGAGATGGCGTGGAATCGATTTAAATGGAACTACACGTTCGAGAATCGATTGAAAACCATGTTCATGAAGAAACGAAATGAGATGCCGAGCAAAAAGAGTCTCGCCAGTCAAATGAGATCGAATGGAGAGTACAGTCAATTCGGACTGAGGATAGTGAAGAACAATGCGATTCAAAGGTGATGTATATTCCATATTGACAGTATAATGAAGATGAACCAGACTTTCGACTTCGCTTTTGAATTGTCCTATAATTGATTCTTATTAAGTTAAAGAAGCCAAGTTTACATTCTAGTTAAACAAAGGTCTTGAACAAGCATCAAGTTGATGCATACAGAAGTAAGCTAGACACTTTCGAATAACAGAATCAATGGTGTAGTCAGGAATTTTTGAATCATGGACAATTGTCCAACAGTTCATGACTAGTTATACCACTGAACAGGATGAAGGTGACAATGCATCGCCTACACTACTTCTTTGTACATTCAAGACAGAGTAATTTCATCACATATAGAGTGATAGTTTGAAAAGCCAAGTTTACCAATGCTGGAAAAATTCTATGTTATTCCTCATGAAATCTTTCTTAAGAAAGGCTATAGGCCTTTTTTCGTCTTAAAGCTGACTTGATCATGAAACGATTTAGTATGTCATTGTCCTAGAAAATACGAGCTCAGTATTGAAATGTATTCTATTTACAAGACTCCTGGTTTCGAAAGTACTTGTTCACGTCTTGAAAGTGACTTGCTCATAAAAAACTCATTTCAAAATCATGTTCATCTCCTATTCTAACAAGTGACAGTACCTTTTAGTAATTCCATTGCTTCACATGAGTGCGATGAGATGAACGATGTTTTTGATTTCAAACGAACAATTGGTCGGTTCTTCTTGTCAAAATGGAGAAATGTTGAAATTAAGGATCCATCCATTTTGGTCATTTGATCTCCTAATTGCCCTAGTTCATGCTGTTGACAACCGTTGCCCTCTTCATAATTAAAGAATTTTTCTGGTGGCAACGAAACCAATTGAACATTGTCAGGGTCATTGATGTTAAACATTGTTCCACGACAATTCAAAGCAGATGGAAGCGAATGGAAATTAGTGTAGGAACAAAGCCGATAATTGAATATACGATATTTGGTAGAATCAAGTAGAGCATCTTTATAATAAAAACTGTTGTCGGTTGAACATAATGATGTAAGATTATGATAAAGTTGAGGCATTAACTGCGCCATTATTGTGCTACAAATGTGTGTGTATGTGCTGAGAAATCATTAGACCTACTTGTATTAAACTGAATATTATATGTAGAATGACAACAAGGATTACAATATTCGTCGTCAGAAATATTGCAATATTACGGCCGCACTTGTGTAATAACGATACCTCATGTAATCATTAGTGACTCATGTTTGTTTTTTCGTTCTGTTTTACATATTTGTTTTATCGTATGAAGTACAGAACCAATTGGACACTTCCAATATGACGCAAAGCATAGTAATTATTTAGTCGTTCACGTGTTCTTTTTTTCCTTTTATCAGGGTGATTCATTGGGAGTTTTTATGATGTAAAACACCATATGGCAGTTACGTGCTAGTTTTTTTTCTCGATAGTCTGCCTTCAAAGTCCATAGTTTGTAATGTGACAATCTCAAGAACAGAATATCGTTCGAAGCTTACTGAAACGCCATCGACAAAATAGAGCTTCCAAAATGATAAATATTTTCCTCAGATTTTTTGATATGTCACACTGTTCATCGAAAATAAAATCTTGACAATGAGAACAATATGTGGGCTTTCTTACCTGTGTCAAAGATAATGAAAATGCGACTAGGTGCTTATCTCAGCAGCTGACGCTAACTGCAATGAGCTTTATTTAGATCGACAGTTGCTACTATCTTGATGGAGGCTGTTTATTGTTACCTATTACTATGTCAGTTAGTTCATCAAAAGTAAAATTCGAACACAGAGCATAATTTTTCGACTTTATTATTCTCGTTCGAGATCATGAAAGAAAACCTAGGGCGCTTATCTCAGTATTAGCGAATGTTCATTAAATCGAGATTCGCTACCATGTTTTGACCGTCTTTATTAAATTGAAAATCACATGCATGAACATCAATTTCCAGTTAAATACGTATTCAATCGTCAAAGCAAGAATAACAGGCATGCTCAATGTTTCAACTGAACAAGGAATTGATTTTCTTTCATGACTCATCTTAGTCAATTGATATTGATACAGACTCATCAGTAATGAACCGAGTACGATTTTTAGCATTTTCAGAAGTAATATGAACAGATACATGTCATGAGCAGCAACATCGATTGCAATCAAGCATACGATTTCTAGGATCAAGTTCATCATTCAGCTTCACCCAAATGTAATAGTTCACAATTTCCACATGAAGTTTTTCAAGAGTGCTTCGCACTAATATTGCATTATGAACGAAGCTAAGGTGTCATCCAGTCTTTCTTTCGAAGCGTGCGAATTGAAAGTTGTTATTTTCGGTTGCGATGATCTGGAAAAGCGAAAATCGGAAAGTAATCATTTAAGCGTTAGGATAAAATTTTATGGTCGAATCAAAACTATTCATTTTCTCATCTTCAACGTCACGTTAGATTTTCTTACAGGAAATCACCAGAAAAAGGCAAATTTGTTGTGAAGTTTGATTTTTCTCAAGGTTTGAGGCAATTCAAACGAAGACAACAACAAAAATTAGCCGTCATTCTCTTGGCTTATATCTAAGGTAGCTGTGAATATCGTTGATGATGGATAGTGAATCAGATCAAGAATCAAGAGATCAATCGATAGTCCTCATTAGTAACGCGTTGAAAACTGTTAATAGAGTTCTCTTAGTAATGAATTTCAAGATGGTTACTTAGCATTTCCATTTTGATTTCGATCAACTAATTGATTGAAATTTAAATTTTTCGATTAATAGTGACAGAACAAAAACTTGATTGCAGTCAAATGTAAATATGTGTTGGGGAAAAGCGTTTCGTGATGAATCGTAGGAACAATCATTCATTTATGATGATATATCGATTTTTTCGATAAATGATATTCGAAGCTTCGTATCACATTTTGCAGTCGAATGAAGCTTGAATGTCATCTAAGTTCTTTGCTTTTTCTTCCTTTATACATTATACAGAGACATCAAAAGTTGTCATTTTGTAACGCTATCATCTCGAGAATAGGAAATGAATCCATTCATTACTTTCTGTTTTTATAGACACCAGAAAATAGGTTAGAATCATTTGGTGAAATCTTAAGAGCAAATAGAAGTTGATCGTAGAACAGCAGGACGTAATAGCGTTATTTACTTATTAGTATGTAAATTTCTAATTTTATCAAATTCTGAACGATGACTGTGCCTCGCCCCTAAAAATGAACTTTTAGCCAACAATATTCAACTCGGATGAAATTTGCAAGATCTATCTAGACCATTGTGAAAAGCCTATAGTAAAATTTTTAGCTATATATCATTAGGTTTTCAGAAAAAATTCATTGAACGAGTGTCAAAAATAGCTTATTTGGTACTTCTGATCTCTCTTTGGGACTTGATTATATATATCTACGAGTTCATTATTTTAAAGAACTGTAAAAATAGAAATTTTTCCTCATAGTCAGAGAATATACAAAAACTTCAAGCAGAAGAGTCGCATTTTCAACATTATGCAATAATTATCTGCTTCTATTTCAATTTATTTAAAAATAAAATCATAGCGTGACATTTCGTTGTTGAAAACAACTACTTCAGACGAGTTGTACGATAGCTGATGAAATGACATCTTTATTATTTTTGTTTTTACTATTGTGAAGTATTTTTTCTATGTAATGAAATGAAAAGTGCGATGAGAATTTCCGAAAATGCAGCAAGGCAAAAAAAGGGATCTATATACGTCTTCATGAACAATGTCAATGATTCTCTTTTCATGATCAGCTATTATTCTTCTGCTTCTTTTATGATGAAAATTCATGCGATTTTCAGTTTTTTTCCTTCATGATCAAAGGTTTTTCCTCTTCTGGTTTTTCATACATATAATGAAACTAAGCGAAAAAAATAAGTTCATGCAGCATTTTCACTGAATAATTTTTTATTTATCAAAATCTTTGCTTTTTTATACTTGTAAATTAAAAAGTTCCTTTGGATGAATCTCAGTCATCTTTTTACAATTTCCACAAATGTTGACTTGCACCCAAGAAAAATTCAAATGCGTTAATAAAAAGAAACAAGAGCTAATTGAAAATTAATTTAATGAAAATGCTTTGCATGTCAATGTACATTTTTAGTTAGAAACATCAGACTATATAGCTGTTGGCAAAAATCTAACAAATTGAAGTAAACTAACAAGATGATATATCTTAATCATTGTCTCAGAATCATCAACGAATTACCTAATTTTGTTGACACCTTTACTCCGATCGGAATCATGGTTATATGGCCTACTGAGATTGACATTTTAAGAGATTAACCGAGCTTATATTTTTGTTTTTTCTCCTTGCGAAAACTTTTTCGATTCTTTTATCCATAGTAATTATTTTATCATATTTACACTATTCTGATGCACGTTGCTTAATAGTTTCTTTGCCAGAAATTCTAAAGATTTCAGCAACGGTACGTCGTAATCAGTACAGCAAAAGTTGAAGTATGGATGACAAACTCAAATGGTCCTTTATAGTCTAACAAAAAGTTGAGTATGGGTCAATAGACAGAGCATTTGCATATCAGCTATACTTCGATTTTTGCTACGCTGACTACGATATATCCTTTCTAAAATCTTTAGAATTTGTGACAGGAAATTTATTGAGAAACGTGCGATAGAATGCTTTAAATATAGTAAAATAATTAATCATGAATAGAGGTTTAGAAAAAGACTATTGTAGGAAAAGAAAAGATTCTTCTATACTTATAAAACGTATCGTAGCGAATACATTCTTGAACGGTTTATTTGTGTTTTTAGTGAAAATAATGTATTCAAACATCGGCTTTTGCAAAGTTTTTTATGGGTATACTCTATCGAACGAAAGTAATATTATTATGATATCCTTTTCAGTTTTTTCTCTATTCTCTCAAAAGATCAATTGACTCTATCTACTCATTCATACGTTTTGGCTTTATTCTATATTATCAAGTTGAAATCGATATAAATTTTTCATATCTTACATTTGAAAAAAAACCATTATTTTATGAATTTTTTATTATTTTCTTGTAGCAATTAGTTAATACTGACTCTGATCGTCAGTATAGAATTTCAAAAGACGAAAAGTTTTATTTTCTATTCTATTATGTATAAATTAGAGGGTTATCAGACATTTGTGCCAATAATAAGAGCATGACCTATCTTCATATTCTATTGGTTCAATAATGTGAGAGCATTCGATCACTATGTGACTGGACGTTCTTACCTTATAAACGATAATAGACACCTGTTCACTCTTTCCTTCTTCGTCCCCTCTTTCGTATATAAGCTTGTATTCTATATGAAGTACACACAACTGAAATGATGGAGTAGTTTAGTGAACATCTATACCGACGGTGATCGTAACGCTACTTCTTCAATTTATTATTATTGATCACAATAAAATACACAACGCATTGATAACGAAAGAGAATATCATTTCAATATATCTCGATCATTTTTGTTATAACTTTCATGCTGGATTTTTCTACAAGAAAAAAAATATTGTCTCATTTATAATAAATACATGAAACTATGTTCTCTTATAATGGAAAATATAACTCTAGAATCCATTGCTTTCTATTTCGAATGACAAAAATTTGAGGAAATAAAAAGAATGAGTCTTGTACATTAATAGATTTCTATAGTGAATATATTTTTCTTCACTTCAACATGGATAGTTTCATTTTTCGTAGATTATATTTACAGAATGAATAGATGTTGATGAATTTTCTTGTCATATAATACCGAATAAAGACGATAGTTATCACAAGTCATATCATAATAGTTTTGACTGATGTGCCGAGATTTTCTGCATACATTACAAGTAATAGATAAGTACGAAAATTCATTCTAGAAAGAGAAATCAATTTTTCTTTCCATACCTATGTTTGTTCGGTTACAACTTCTTTACTAACATTATAATGATCACGACGTCATAAAATTTTTCCATTAAATGATACAATAATACATGATACCTTACCAATAGGACCGAACCACAATTACATCGAAAGTATTAAAAACTAAACATGTATTTAACACAAAATTGATAGTACATATCAAGAGTACTGCAAGTCATAATATATTAGAATCTTATTTAGGGATTTTTTTAGTAATCATATAATGAAGACGAGATACCGTAAGGGAGTCTTCAAAATATCATTAAAAACTCACAGACAAAAAAGATACAATAATTCGTTATGCGGCTAACATTTTCTTTTAATCATTTCGAAATGTTAATTATAACTAGAAGGAACCTATCACATTTTTAAGCGAATAATCACTAATTGTACTATAGTTTCTGATCGAATACTAAATGGTATAATTTTCTTAGTCAACTGAAAGGCGGATTATGTTTAGATTTTATATGTTTCGAACAATTAAATACAATCGAATATAGAATTGCATACCTCAGAGACAAGTGATGTATTGATTATTTAACTTAAAAGAAATAACAATTTGTACGACTATCTTCAATCATAATTTGTATATACTACCCAGTCTATCTAGTTGTTCGTTCAACCGATTCAGTTGCTGTAAATTTGGTTGGATTTGCAAATATTTAAAGGTAATATAAACTAAATGAACTTTATATTTATAAATAACAGTATTATCAATAATAACTCCGAAAAAGATTAAGGATATATCTCAATACAGATCAATATTTAAAACAGTTCAAAAGTACTAACGCATAATTCCAGATAGCACAAAGAATACATAAGTGTCATTTTTTTAAAACTAGCAAAGTTTTCTAAGGCCACTTTTATTCTAGCTGGAAATATGTCCTTAATCAGCGTTAGCTTAGTATATTCGTACATAATCGAGCAGCACTTATAGCTTGACATGTTTTTTTTTAATGATTCAGATCAGATAGATTTATTTTGTTACGATAATGATTTTTTTAAAATAACAATGATGAATATGTCTTGTAATCCGGAAGATAAAAATCCGGAAAACAAAAAATTCGGAAAACAAAAATCCGGAAAACCAAAAATCCGGAAAATAAAAAACCCGGAAAAGAAAAAATCCGGAAAAAACTCCAATATCCTTATAACGAAGGAGAAAGCATAGTAGTCTTTCATAAACCCTTCCTATTGTCTTCGTCCATTATGATCATCGTCCGCTGGGTACCATCCTTCTTCATTCTGCTCTGCACTTCTATAATTACACCTAGATGGATGCGTCGTGGCGCTGAACACGCCGCCGATTGTTAGATTAGCGCACACGTATATATACACTGTCGGTCCTCTTATCAACAAACGAATGAACAGGTGTCATCCAAACATGTGGGCCTTCGTCACTTGCCTGCACAACGAAGAAGTGCATTTTCGGCAACAAGTGCTCAAGGTGTTAACGGGTGCGCAAAAAATGAAGACGAAGAAGACTTTGGCTTTACAAGCTAAAATCAACACTCTTGCGAAACGTTTCGAGGACGATGAAATCGACTGCGCCGAACATCTCGAGGGGCTCTCTTTATTGGTGGCTAGTAAAAAGTGAAGTACATTCCTCTCGTCATATCAAATGATTTCTCTTCTTTATTGTACATGTTTCTTTGTTAAATAAACTGTTGAATCTTTCTACAGAATTTTTCCCGATTTTATCTTTTCCGGATTTTTTTCCAGTTTTTTTCCGGATTTTTTCCAGATTTTTTTCCGGATTTTTTCCTCCGAATTTTTTCTTCCGGATTTTTTTTTCCGAATTTCGGGACAATACCACAATGATTAAGTATCAAATAATTAACGTATTTTTTTTTAGAAAATTTACACTTTTATTGTTTAGTCTACGAGAACAATAAGTCGATAACAGACATGAAAGAATATAATAATAAAATGTATTGAAAAGGTAGATAAACCATAATATAATGAAAATATCTAAAGCGTGTTAAATATCATCGGAAAAATATTCAGTTGGTGTAAAAAGTTTAAAATTTATAATTTAAGAAATTCAACCAGCAATACGATGCAATCAACATATTTCTTTTGTCGATAATGTGAATAGAAGAACCTTTTCCATCCAAATATCTTAAAACCTTATTGCATGAAAAGAACCAATAAATGGAATATTGTCAGTCAGAAAGAATTGGCACAATTCTTGAAATAGATAAAGTATTATTTAAATGCAAAAATAAATTTTCTAGGAGTATCTCTTTTGAGAAGCTACCCAACGCTACTACACCTTCTATGGATCAATCTTTGACTCTAATATTTGAACTGGCTCATGCTTCCTTAGTGGTGCACCTTGCAACTACTATGTATGCACGCATAAATATTACATATAATCATCTGATTGGACCCTTGTACAGTATTGAATTAGAACTGATTAAACTGAATCGATATTCGGAACATACAGTTGATGTTGTCATGGTATGTGCATGCGCCGTGTTGCAAGCTCGCTCTGTGAACTAATTTGAACATACGTGTTGAAATGTCATTTTAAAAATGTTCTATGCACTTTTACTTGACGCAAACCTTTCGATTATATAAAGATAGAGAACAGATCGAGATAAATAATTAGAAAGCAGTTCCTTTTGACAGTGTTATTCTGAATTGGCTTTTTTTTTGAAAGCACTTGATAATTCTTTCAATCATTTTATCGACATGTTTATCAGAAAGTTCGACTTCGAGTACGAACAATGTAATTATGGTATACATTCGTGCATCAATATAATTTTCTATCCATTCTATGTCTTCGAAGTGAAGCAAATATTCTTATCCATTAAGAATGAAAGGTCACTTGTTTAATATTCAATGGATCTATTTTTCTGGGAAGCACGTCTGTGGTGTGTAAGACAAGTGTGTGTAAGACAATTATGTGGAGACAATTGTGTGTATGGACAATTATGTGTTAGATGTTTGTGTGCAGATAATTGTGTACAAAATGAGTGTGTGTGTGTGCAAATAAATATTTTTGTCAAAAAAAGGTGAAAGACAAGGAAGGAAAAAAAGTAAACAAAATAACAAAGATTAATCAAATAAATAAATCAATAAAGAATTATAACATGAATATATGAGCGATCGCTTTTATTTTTGTATATTATCATCTGTAGGATTTTCTAAAATCCGTAAAAGTCTGGACGCTGTGTGTTGAGTTTGGATTCGCTTTGGTTTTGGTACGAGATCTGTTACTAGTTGAGAAATTTCACCATCTACGTATGATTGCTCTGTTTGAAGGTCACTCAAAAAACGCCAAAATCCAGGATGAGCTGAATCTACGATATTGTTAAGTCGTCAGTGCCATCCTTCGCCGGCGTTGTCAATCAGAACTGGGTTGCCTTTTTCAGTTTCAGAAAATAAAATTGACATGAAGTGTTCGTACTTTCAATGTGATCTATATGATAGTGAATTTTAAATGACTGTAAATGGATATCTTCTATTATTCTCACTCGTCTAAATACTTTCAAGGAAAATTGATCGATGTGCATGCACATTACCGTCCGTTCTCATAAGTGTCTTATACACAACTGTCTGTTCTCATAATTGTCTTACACACAATGACCTCTTCTCATAATTATCTTACACACAATTGTCTTACACACAACAATCATAGACCCGTTTTTCTGTGTCATTATTATGATGAGATATCGAGATTTTTGTGCCGCCTGTATGAGCGATGGGACATTAAAATTTTAAATAAAAAGATCATGAATCGTCGCATACTTGGTGAAATCTTTTTTCTCCAGTCAATGAACTTCGTTCATATGAACAACTCTCTCATTCTGACACTCATTGCGAGAAACTCCATTGATGATTAATGAAAAGATTTGTCATGTTCACTATTGTAGAAATCAACATAATCATCCAATAAATAATTTGACGAAGATTATTCTAGCCTCTATTTATTCGAACGAAATATTGGTAGGTTAAACATTTACAGCTGATTTTGGGCTTGATAGTCGAGATTGCTCTATTTGGTCTATTCTTCGACAGCGACTACTGCAGACACCATTATTCTTGGTATTTGATAAATGAATTCGATCCATCTTTTAAGTGAAAGCGATGTTTGCATCATTTCAGATGTATTCAGTAAACGTCAACATTTTTTGTTTTGAATCAAGTGTCTGACATAAAAATATTTTAGAATATCACATTTCAAAGTATTTCAATGACAAAAACATTAAGAACACTATACAGTAAAAAATAAATATTGATTCTTCCCGACAATATTAATAATAGTTAGTCAATAGACGAAACTAATCATAAAAAACTCTCTCAATATCTTCCCAATTGAAAATGATACTTTTTAAAATCCATCGAAAATAACACAATTTTGATAGTCATGCCTCTGGTTTATCTAGTATCTTGTAATGCATTTTTAATTGACGAAATTCTGAATATCATGAGAAAAATTTTGGTGAATTACAACAAGTTTTATTAGAGATATGTTCGACTGATTTTTATTAGAGGATTCAATAGAAAATTCATCTTATACATATAGTAAAAACGACAAAAAAAAAGCAGCTAGCGTACAATTCAATCGTAATGTCGTTACGCATCATCAATCGTCATTGGATGATAATAAGAGAAGTAAAGAAAAAAAAAAAGAAAAAAAGAAGCGAGAGTGTCGAGAAGAAAAAAAACCAACGTGACGCATTTCGTCTATTTATTGGTTGTGCACATGTGATAAGAAAAGCATTCGATAAAATATTGGGATGACGGAAACAAAACCGAACCAAACGACATCACCATATACGCAGGAAAGTATCTCAACAAATGAGCATCCACTCGGTCAATCAGCTTCAGAATTTCCAATGGAGCCACCTCCAAAATATGGTAAGACCTAGACATATGGCAATAACAAAAATTTTTGGATTTAGACATACATTTTTGTTTTAAGATTTAGGCTTTGCGTATAGATTTGGCTTTCACGCTTAAAGTTTAGGGTCAGTTCGAGTATGAATTTTGGTTTTGTGTCTTCTTCAATTTGAGTATTGGTTACTGTAATAAAGTATTCTAATGCAACTAGCAAGTTTGTTGTAATAGTACTAGGGAAATGAAATGAGAATTACGTTGTAACTAACTAACGACTTTACACTACTTAGAAAAGAAGTGAAATCTATTGATCATTTATTGGGGTTTGCGATTTGGGTTTTTCAGTCGTATAACGAATATTTATTGAAAATAATGTTATTTGATAAGGCAGGGTCAAAGATTTTTCTAAGTTAAGGAATTCAAACCTATTAATTGTTGTAAGAAATTCTCAATTTCACTTTTTCCAATCTCCTAAGATCAGTTGTCAGCGATTTTAGTCAATGTTGACAACAACTGATTTTTCATCAAATAGGTTACTTCTAACCGAAAAAAGAATAGAAAAATCTGAAGAAACCATCTGTAGATTCAGATTTCTTAATCTCGAAAGCCTTTGATCAAGTTTTATCAAATACTGCTATTTCTGCTATATATTATTTCATCGACCAAAAAACCCAGATCAAAAGCTTCTAAAAAATAATCGATAGATCTTATTTCCTTTTTCAGTAGTGCAAAGTGACTAGTTAGCTGCAAGGTAATACTCGCATCATTTCCTTAGTACTATTACGCAAAGCTCACTAGTCGTATATTCTCACGCTTATTAAAACTTAGATTGATCTGAATCCTTAGTCTTAAAACTCAAATTGATGCCCTTAACTATAGTTTGGTTGATGGTGCATGTCTGATAAGAATTTTCTACAATTACGAGTCGCTGTACGAACACTTTTATCCATCAGGATGCATTACATTAGTATATCATCTATTGTTGTACAGTTGATTGCCGCTTCAGTGTCGTATTGAAATATTTATGATCTTTCATTTCTTAAACAAGCTCATCCGTATGTCTCGATTTGTCTATTCAAGGCGAATCACCGATATGATTATGAGTAACCATCACAAGTTCTTACGGCGGTCCTTTATTTCTGTCTACTCTTTCAATCAATAATTATTTGTTTTCTATGAACGAGACATTCAAATTGCTGTTTCTACTATAGTGAAATAACATTCATTCCATGAAAAGTAGAAGATAGGGATACGATTTGTGCATCAAAAGCATATAAAAGAAATCTTTGCGATTTGTTTTCATTGTTCCCCGATCTGTTCAGTAAAATTTCCAGATGATAGAATTTGCACCTCTGCATATAAAAATACATATGCAAGGTTCTCTTCTAGGGACACATAAACACAAAATTATTTTTACTTTAGATCAGATTCTGGACTACTAGATAACTGAAACCAGTGTGAGTATCATCTTTGCTCACTCTTACTTTTTGGAGTCTAAGCCGCACAGAGTGAGTTACTTTTGATTGTGTTATTTTCGACGTTTAGTGGAAGATTCTTGGGTTTGATTCGATCGGTATGTCGAATATCCGCGTCGAATTTTCCTAAGCGTAACATATCTTGGTTCATAAAAATTAAGATTTAATTACCTGAATCCATTTAGCTATCTAGTTACTTTGATAATTAAGACTCATCTGTATTTTTATTAATAGACGATGCTCGACACAGCCCTGCACCGGTCAATCGAAATGTACAGCAAGTACCTCACGTAGTGACTATCGTTCAACCGCGGTTTGGCGATTTGTCTGTCCAGTGCACGTGTCCGAACTGTCATCAAACTATTGTAACACGTGTGGAAAGGTCGAATGGCATACTCGTATGGTTAATATGTGGAATACTCATACTTGTAGGCTGCTGGCTCGGCTGTTGCCTCGTTCCATTTTGTATTGACGAATTGAAGGTATGCTTGCATTCTATCCTGCATGTTTCTCATACTTGCTTTGCATAGGATACAACGCATTACTGTCCAAACTGTGGAATAATGTTGGGCAAGAACAAGAAACTCTGATTGGATAATCAACAAACCTTATTGACGAACAAATATTTCAATTATTATAGCTTTTCGGATAGATTTTTTCCAAAGTTTTTTCTTTTTCCTTTCTTCTATCTACAACACTTAATATTCTATGTTATTAATCATTGCAAAAGGTAGACTCATTTTGGTTAAGTTTTCCATCCAAATCTTTTAATTATATTCTTCTCTTGTTCTGGTTCTCAACATTAATATCTCTTTTTTTTCTTTGTATCTTTCGCGTCATTGCAAACAATTTTTTTTCAAATACTATATAAATACATTCTCAACTGCAAATACATTTTCAATACATTCATTGGGTTTATATTTTTCAGTTCTCTGTTGGTATCTTCACGCATTACTTCTTCAAATTCTTGGAACGAATGTTTCATTGAAAAATTCATTGATGAGCATCATTTTTTTGAGCAAGAAATTTATTTGTCTTTGTGCTCACGGCAAATTCGTTGTTGTTCAGGTAAAGTTACTGTTTTGATCGACACTATAAAATTAATGAAACAACATAATCATAGAAACCTATTGAGTCGCTATAAAATCGACGGATGAAAGAGCTCCACGAATAGAACATTATTCTTAATCTTCATTCGTCATGGACACGCTCCGATTCAATGAAAGTCTCTAGAACAATTAACATCAGAGAAAGCCGATTCGTTATTCGATGATCTATTTAAATAGTAATATCTAGATAACCGAAATTATTCTTCTCAGTAGATTCATATGAACTATAGCAATGATATCTGATTGAGTGGTTTTCGAAACAAAACGATGATTTCTATCACGAAGAAATCGATCAAGTGTAGTATTTGTGCAATTCATTTTGTTTAGGAAATTACGGTTCTTTTGTGTGGGCTTCAAGAGATAAGCGGTGTCAAAATAAGTAGAAATCACTATTTCGTAATTATTCATTTACGTTTCAATCAAACATACCGAACGGTTATGTTGGTTATAAGTCATCCATATATCGTATATTCGAGCCCGATTGGTTACTGTATATTCATATTCGACTTTCTAGAGTTTATCCATTGAATCAGGTGGATAATGTATATCGTGTATAAAATGGATTTTCATTGAATAGCAGAACTATAATTTGTTCCAGTTTTTATATCCTTGCTTTTTATGTCAAAGACAGATAGCTTTTTCTTCTAATTACAAGTAACAGCCTCATTATATGGAAAACCAAAAATGAATGTAGATAACACTGAAGACGCTTTCAGATACTTTTTATGAATTGTAATCGGTCTCCAGAACATTCTTGCACACACAATTTCTTCCCGAGACATTCGTTCTAAGTAAACTTGCATATTACTGCAATTATCGTTTCGATTTTTTATTGTCAATTGACATTGGCATCGTTTTTCACTGATAGAGTGGACCTCACCGTTTTGCTCTGTTATGCCTCTTTTTTTGCTAGATAAATCTAATTATGAGCAGTTTTCAGTGAATACAACGAATTGCGTGTAACAATTGTCTTATTATATGTAGTTTTGCTATTAATCGTTTCTTTTTTATTTCTGCACATCTATTCTAGTCATCACGTTCATCATCACATATCCTTAGCACAGTGCGTACTAGTAAGAAGTTTCTTCATCAACACACTCGTCTGCACCAACATTATTCGAGCAAGTATCGTAGTATCTACTTTCGGCTCCTTGAAATTGGTCTCGACTGTAGAACGTTTTGGGATTTTGACATGTTTGCAATGTTGTGGGGAACATATTTTGTTTCATACATAAAAATTCATTTTCGAAAATACGATAAAAAAATTTAGTGACAAATCAATGAATAGATCTGGCCAGAATATACATTGGAAAATTAGGCGTCTCTTGTGCTTTTTCTTTGCATTTTTATTTTGCCATATCAATGTATCATGCATGGTTCTCACAATGTTCTTCCGTCTTTGAAAGTATTTGCTCATAATGGTACAGATAGATTCGATGTTATTATTGATGATCGTGACTATTGAATGTCTCAAAAGTTCTATAGGCTGATTCTGTTTTTTTTTCGTATTACACTTCTTTCTGACGGCATATCTGTTGTTGAAGATAATTATAAGACTTATCTTAGTGATTATGATCAATAGTATTTGAAATCAATCAATACCGATCGAATTTTTAAGAATTCTGACCGATGACATTCAATCGAAATTGCCAATACATATGAAGAGTGCTCTCGATCCTCTCCACAGTTGTCTGAAAACAGGCAACAATATTTGTTTGATGGCAAAGAAATTGACGTGTCATGCCTAATTATGTGGATGTATTCTGGTCTACATTATGTTTACATGATAATTTACTTAGTAAATGTATCCTGTCCCATTTCAGAAGGCTGTCAAGCGTTGTCGATGGCTTGATTTCTTTTAGTCTAGTATTCGTAAGAAGATAGAAAACGACTGAGCTTTATATTGGCAAAACATTATTCTTTGGCTAATTTTACAAAATTTCGCATAATTCTTTACCTTTTGAATTTATGTGTAGATATGACATAATCGACACCTGTGATCATGAAAATGAATAGTTCTAAAATAGAATTTGAAAGGGTAAATGATCAATACATCCGTGAATCAGTTGCATTTCTCTTTTCTTTTCTCAATTCAGTGATCTTGCCAAAGAGATCCAAAGAATAGTATTCATTTTTCATCTCCATTCGTACCATGAAATTAAGAAGGATTCGTCGAACGTGTTGAACAGAGTCAAGCATGACTGTTAGGCACTGTCAATATTCTTAATCGTTGTAATCATCTTTTTGCGATGAAAATCAAACTCCGGTATTTAAATACAACGTAAGAAAGAGAATGTGCCAAAGCGGAAGGATTGTCATGTGTCAGTAGTTTCGTTTAAATCCATTAGACAATGTTCTTCATCTTAGAAAAAAATATGCACTTTCAACTGTGCACGGTCATGAAATCGATTGTTTGTTCATCACAACATTTTGTTCGTGGTTATTTTCTTTGCATGATGAGCACCAACACGATTCTCTAAACAATCTACTTGGTTTACTCTGCCATTTATGATTTTGCACTAATTAGTTTTCATTCGAAGATCTGTTCAAAGAAAAGGTGATGTAAAATAAAATCAGAATGCAGATGCTCAAAAAAAAGAACGCTTCTCGATTCAAAAATCTGGTTGGAGAGTCTTTATACGAGTTGTTACCCATTGAAAGTTATGAAAATATGCTTCTTGTTTCTTCTGGAAGAAGTGGTTTGTCCTCGTATTTCTTTGATACCTCAAGCCAAGTGTATGGTTGACATTATCACAGAATGTTGTGATGATCAATAAGATAGTTTCACTGTTTATAAACATCTGTCAATTATGGCCTATACCATTGAATGAATTCCGAAACAGAAATCCTTCTATTTCGTCCTGAATAACGCTCTTCGAATTAGAACCTGGAAAAAACTTAAATTTTGATTTCGGTATTTTCAGTCATACTGTAAAAAAAAGAGCTGAGTCCTAGGATGATATTAAAATGAAATTTATTTTGCGAAATTGAACGATTAATCTATAAACTCTTCCGTCCGATCGAATCATTGAGATTTTTCTGGATGTTCAAAAGTCTGCTTGGTTCCCTATTGTCTTCTATACTACGTTGTTACCAGGAAATGCGGTAACTGAAGTGAGTAAACAGTATTGTGATATATGGTAATAATGAATCAGTGCCGTTTCTAGTATCTCGAGTAGACAAGATGTCCGAAGTTGTGCAGAAGAAGAGGTGGGACTTAGTACAGGTAGGGTGTAATGGTTGTGGAAATGAAACAATGACGGTGACGTTAAATTAATCATCTCATCCTTACCTTGATAACGACATCCTAATCCCTTCTCTCCATCTACCATTATCATTACATACTCGATCTCACCTTGCCATTGTGCGGAGTGTTTTGGATGTTGTAGACTGCAAAAGACAAGAGTAAAGACTGATAAGTTATAATTTTTGTTCTTATCATCCTATATGAGACCATACGACTATTTAAGATTGTAGTGCTTTATCAAAAGAGTAAGCTAAAGTAACAAAAACTTTTCTGCTACTTTTTCTCGTTGATTCAATGTCTACCACAACAGTAAATATCGTACGAATACCAGCAACGAAAGAAAATGCTGAAGATGAAATCTTAGAATGCCTTCGACGAGATGGTGTGGCTATTGTTACTGGAATGTATGCGATGAGTCATATTGAACAAGTGCAAAATGATCTAGCTCCGCATTTTGAGTCCGATGTTGTCGATAAATCAGGCTTTTTTCCTTCGACCACGCAACGGGCCACGGGTCTCTTTGCTATTTCACGTGCTTGTGTCGACTTGGCCATGCATCCTTTACTTTTGGCTGTGGCCAATCGATTACTCACATCAACATATTCTTTTTGCCAAGGTACGCAGAAGAAAACTGTTCAATCCAAACCAATCATTTCATCCACTGTCGGTTTTCGCGTTAATCCTGGCGGTCAACAACAAGAGCTTCATCGTGATGATAATGACTTTCATACGCGACCCTGTGATTGGCCAATGATGATAGGCTGCGTAATTGCCCTAACTCGGACTCACAAGAATAATGGAGCGACTATAGTGATTCCTCGTTCACATTTGTGGGAAGACGAAGATCGAGTACCACTAGTAGAAGAAGCTGTACCCGCCGAATTAGAGCCCGGTGATGCGACTATTTTTGTTGGAAATTTATATCATGCTGGAGGATCTAATATAACTCTAGATGAGCGGCGGGAAACAGCAGGTATATTCATGGCTAAAGGGTTTTATCGACAAGCCGAAAATGAATACCTGATGGTACCACCTGAACGATGCAAAGAACTTCAATTGACTCCAGCAGAATTACGTGTGCTTGGCTATGGACTCTCGCAACCAGCTTGCGGATTTGTCAAATACAAAGATCCCATGGAGTCTGTTTTCGGAATAATAGATGATGAGACGGTTTCGATGTAGCAAACAGGTCTCGAAAGTATATAAAACTTTGTCCACGTAATCTGTCATTGACTTCTGCTCGACAATTTTCATGTGACAGATCACCTGAAATCCGACAGAGCAGTTTGCTAAATAAAAAAATCCCGAAGACAATTTAGCATGCTTCTATTTGTCAGTAGTTATATTATCTCTTCGTGCAGTAATAATTTTCAAGCATTTTTTGTGTACTCAAAAAGTGAGTACACTATAGAATCGGTTAGTGTGTCCGTCCGGCCGTTTACACGATAACGTTCGAAAGGAGAGTCAGATCACGATGAAATTTTCTATACAGTTCAGTCTCATCAATGTCTCGGTCGAGTTCGAAGATGAGCCTGATTGGACGAGCCCTTCCTGAGTTATTGAAAAAATACTGATTTTTTTCCCTATGTTTCCCTATGAGAAAATCGACCCTTCTCTGTTTCCCTTAAAAACTTTTCCTATCATACTCAAAATAAAACCCCAACTATTATATACCATTCGATAGAGAATTTCACGAGCTACAAAATGGTATATAAAACATAAGGAAACAAGAAAGTTAACTCACCTATTGCAAAGATAATTAAACGGAATTCGGTTCTGTGTTTGTCCACGCTCTAATTGATCCCTAAATAGAGCTCTATCTTCCGATCACAGAGATGATAGTCCAAGGTTTTCTGGGATGGAGAACTCGAATCTGTGCTCCATTCGTCTCGAAATTTCATTGGTTGAGCAGTGACCAATAGAAATCAAGTTATAGGAAAAACGAGTTTCTTAAGGTAAATGAAGGTGAAGAGTTCAAATCTGAGCTGTATCTGCCTCCAAATCCTATTGATTGAGCAGTAGCCAATAGAAATCAAGTGTTTATAGAAAAGGTTTGCCAGGACAATTTTGATGTCCACACATTCTAGGAAGACTCATCTGTCTCATTCACTTTTTGAAGTACACATAACTCTCGGATTTAAATCCGAGGTTTCCGCATTTATTTATAAGGAATGTTAACACATTCGCGGCGATATGAATGTTGTTTTCTCATAATTCGTGAAAGGTACTATTTCTTCAATCACGGTAATTGTAATACTTCAAAACAGCTTTTATCAAAGTTCCTCTTATAAATATGAGCTATGAACATCCCTTTATCAGTGGTAAACGAATTAGCCCATTTGGTCAAAATATGGCATAGATATTCAATCTTTTTTGTGGTAAATGAACTTTTGGATCACTTTATATTGTGACCCACTGATGGGTCTCATCGCCTGAAGTGTGCTAATAATGAGGTTTCACGTACCCAGATCAACCAGGTAACATTCTTTTGATTGGAATAGACTGTGATCGAACCAATTGTTGTTTTATTGTATGAAAGTCAAAGATGATAGAGCAGCATCTGAGTCCCTTAACAATCTTCAGATACTGAATAGATGTTGTCTATTGTTGAGATGGTTCTCAAAGGTGCTATACTTCATTAACGAATTCATTAAATGTGCCATTGTAATTTCGTGAATATATTATTAATGATATTATTTTGTATGTGATAAAAATATGTATACTTAAATGGTATCATGAATATGTTACTCTTATCAGTCACATGTTGTGCTGTGAATTAAACTTGAATTCAGATAGCTATGATTGTTGCTATCTACGAATGGTTGAGCAAGACTTCTGATAACGTTGCTGATAATTCTATATACCAGTTAAAACTAAAATGTTTGTTGCATGAATAAATAGTATAATGTTTGGCTTTTAATTATTTACATATATATATATGTAATAGCTTTATTCGAGTTTAATTCTAATATTCTTTCAGAGAAATTCAATTTCAACCGGAAGCATATTTAAAAAATGAATAATGAATTCAACGGATACTGCATTGGAGTTCGAATCATTTTAAGAATAGATGCAAAGACAATTCACAAAGAAATTTCAATCACATTGAGATTTAATGTTTCATCGTAACCAATATCTACAAGATGGGCATAGCGTTTTGATGAAAGATGAGAAGATAACAATGATAAAAATCAATCTGTTCGTTGGATTTCCGAGTTTATATGTGGAAATATTAAACTGGTAGAGCAGGCTATTAATAATAATCCAAATTTGTAAGTATGTAGGGTAAAGGTAAGCATGAGAGTGAGCGTATAAGGAGTATTGCGAGCCAAACAATTTATTATCAGTCACCCATCCATATTGTACCCGCACCTCATCAATTAGCGAATAGAAAATTTCTTCAGACTACATATTCTATATTAGTTTTGAATTGTTTTAACATTTGTCAGACACAGATATTACTGATTAACTATATACTCAATCTGTTTTCTACGTTATATTTTCTTTGTTACGTGTGTTATTTTTTCAAAATATATACTTTAAATAGTAGAAAATACAAATAAATCTATGATAAATCAAAGTGTAAAGTAATTATTTAACTTTGTTTCCATAGTATAAATTGATATTAAAATGAATTGATGTTATCATTACTGTTTATAAGTCAGTCATATTCATTCTTACCATCGAGAATTTTCTCATATTTCTGTGATTCATATGAGAAAATTTTTCTGTGGCATTGTCCATGGCATAGAGTATGAATCATTGCATAGTTAGAGAAAAAAAAAATAAGCGTATATAAGATGCTAGACTTCGAATATCGATCACAGCAGATTTCGACCCTTTGCAAAATACTACTGGTATAAGTCTTTTAATTTGAATTTTTCATCGAACGCAGTTTTTAATATTAACAACAGTCTTGACTCTCTGTTTTCTTCCTTTCCGTGATTTACTGAAGAACTTACAAAAAGAAAGAATTGTATGCACATAATTGACCATAGACGTACACCGTACACGCTGATCATATTTGAGAAATAGACAACACATGTTTTTTTTTTAAAGCATAATAAGAGTGAGTCCCCATATGAAGAACTTATTCTCAATAGCAATGATCGAATTTTTATTCGACAAAAATGAAATTCTTCAGAAGAACTATTTTAATTGGTGAATGAGAAAAACTAATTAATTTACAAGGAAAATTAACAAGACTTGATTTACGACTGTTTTCAATTACAATGGGCTTTCAGAAAAATTAATCGTCGTCTCTTCGACTGATCAACTGATAGAAGCGCCATAGAAAACCTAAAGTGAGTATGATGAGCCAATGATTACAATATTCGAGTTCGGTTGGTCTTCTCAACGGTAATTGAAGAAATGAAACAACTTGTATGCAATTATATTTGAAAAAATCAAAGACATCTTATCGCTGGAGAAACCTGTATACATGGAAAATCTATTCCAATGCTAAATGCCCTCTTTAGAATAGAATGCAGAATTAAATTCCACCAATCAGCTATTCGACTTGTGTTACTGATAGATTTATTTCACTGGAAAGACGCATATCTGTACATAGAACTTTTAGCGTGTGAAGATGAGAGTGAGGAGAATTCCATTATTCTCACCTTGGCTTCAGGATTCTCTATCGGCTTCTTATCGATACGAAAAATCATCATGAAAAAAAGATATTGAAAACAAACTGACGTACAGAACTTCTTGTGAATATTGCGCCACCGTTTATATCGAACAGTCTGTATTGTGATCAAAGAATAGCTAAACATCAAAAAAACAAGAGTGAACAACGATCTGAATGGGAAAGTAACAAAACATGTGGCTAATATGGACATGTACTTGATTGCTTTCAAGTTCAAACGATGGTAAATGAGACGAATTGGAGGAGATAAATGATAAGGAAGACGTTGGTTACACGTGGTATGAAAGAGACAGCTATTAACAAGATGAAACATGAAGTAACAACGTTTTGATGAGAAGCCTTGCATGCAGAGGATATTCTTTCGATCGAATTGTTTAATCTAGTTCGTTGAACGCGATGAGAAAATAAAATGATATAGCAAAAGGTAGCTATCATTGTCACCTGGTGAGTGACTGAATTGTAAAGAATAAGCATATTGTGTATGAAAATGGTTTGTGATAAGAAATCGAAAGTTTATGCAATCTTGAGTATTAGCTGATGAGACGATCTTGATAGTGGTTATCGAATTTCTACTCTGTCTACTTATATGTACTGCTGCTGTGTGAAATATAAAAGTGATCGATGTATTGTGTCAACGGAGTTCGCCATGGCATAACACAGACACACCACAAAATGACAATCATATCATCAGAGAATATCACAAATGCCATCGTATAAAGTGGTTCATTCATTAGTATGCATCTGTAAATCAAATGCTAGTGATTTTATGGCAGATTTTTCTAAACCATGGTATACTTTACAATAATATGCTTTGCCTTTTCACTATCTACCATCTGATTAAGATGAGGTACTCGATAATTGAAATACTGTGAAAAGAGAAAAATAGCTTTTTGTTCATATAGAAAGACTTTTGAGATGCGTGGACTACAATCATTTTCCTATTAATAAAGGTATATTTCCTGATGTTAATTGGCTTTTGACTCGCTACTTAGTGCATCTTCTAGACCGTAGTAAACTATGTCTACTATAAAAAGAGCTCACGCTAATGGTCTATTTCTGAGGAGATCGAACACTTTTAGTGAACTTTCGATGTGGAACCCCACCTTTTTAGCAAGACCATATTTTCGAATTTCAACCTGAAATTCTGTTTATATAAGGACATGAATTAGATTAGCTTGGAAAAAAAAACTTTAAAGTTTTCAGACTATATCTCGTTGCGACAGGTAGCTTTCGAAAAATATATACTGTAATTATATATTGTCTATCGAAAAGAGCGTATACCTTGAAAATTCCATATGTGAGAGAAACTTCATACGAAGTTTCTTAATTTTTTAAATACAAGCTAGTCTAATTAACGTCTTGATGTCGGCAAAATTTCAGGTCGAAATTTGAAAATACGGCTTTACCTAAAAAATAAGGTTCTACATCGTAAATCCACCAAAAGTGTTCGATCTCTTTATAAACAGGTCATAAGTATGAATTCTTTTTTTTTAATAGCTGAGATAGTTTACTAAGATCTACAAGATGCACTAAG